GGATATAGACTAGACAACAATATTATTCTAAATATTGACTTGGATATAGACCAGACAACAATATTATTTTAAATGTTGACTTGAATATAGACTAGACAACAATATTACTCTAGATATTGACTTGGATATAAACTAGACAACAATATTATTCTAAATGTTGACTTGAATGTAGACTAGACAACAATATCACTCTAGATATTGACTTGGATATAAACTTGACAACAATATTATTCTAAATGTTGACTTGGATATAAACTTGACAACAATATTATTCTAAATATTGACTTGAATGTAGACTAGACAACAATATTACTCTAGATATTGACTTGGATATAAACTAGACAACAATATTATTCTAAATGTTGACTTGGATATTACTAGACAACAATATTATTCTAAATGTTGACTTGGATATAGACTAGACAACAATATTATTCTAAATGTTGACTTGAATATAGACTAGACAACAATATTATTCTAAATGTTGACTTGAATGTAGACTAGACAACAATATTATTCTAAATGTTGACTTGAATATAGACTAGACAACAATATTATTCTACATGTTGACTTGAATGTAGACTAGACAGTGATATTATTTAAAATATATACCTGGGTATGGGCTGGAAGGTGGATCTGTAGTTTCAGTTTTTCCAATAATCAATTTTTCACTGTTCAACGAGTATTCTTCTGCTACAAATGAAGAACATCTAAGACTAAATACATCACTTTCGTAAAGATCAGGAGTGACTTCAAAAGTTAAGCCTGATTCAGAACTTATAAGTCCGTCAGAGTCTTCACTGTCTGGGTATATCGTTACAAATTCTTGAGGTGCCTGTAACATAAGTTTTATTAGTACAATACTAAATCATTCTTCGTTTAAAGCAATTAATATTTTTTAGTCAAATATTGACTAGTATCAGTGTTTGGTTTGTTATTTCTTGCCAATCTATTCGAAGGTTATTTATTATAGCCATCACTAATTCTGAAGTGCTAGATTTGTTTCTAGCGTTGTAAGTCCGCAGACATGCCGCTGTGCCACTGGGGGGCGAAGTGATAGACTAGAAGTAAAAAACAAAACAAAAAAAAACAGCTAGTCAACATTACCCAGTGCTAACCTTTGGATTACCCTTTTTATCAAGGACGAGTACGTTTAATGACAGGATTAGAACCCGCGACACTGAGATTGCGAGTTCGGTGCTCACCCTAACCAGCAAGCCATGTTAGGCCTACTATCAGCGCCTTACCTTAATGGTAATTAATGGTTATTAGCGTAACCACGTATGTTGTAATACAGTAGTTGTTGTTATATACATTTATACGATTAATAGTTATTAAATGTGCTCATAGGTGGACATTGTCCGTCCGAAAATAAAATTTAATTAATAAACGGCACGAACCATTCTACATAACAAATTAAACATGATTAAAAGTTAAATGAAAAATACAATATACAGTGTTTAAAAGTTTTTATATAAAATAATAAATATGTAAACAGTTTTTATATAAAATAATAAATACAATATACAGTGTTTAATAGTTTTTATATAAAATAATAAATACAATATACAGTGTTTAATATATTTACATAAGCCTTACCTCTTTTCCGTTTATTAGCCAATGTAAATTTGCTGAAGGTTTTGATGGGCTCGATTTACAAGTTACGTTTACTGTTTCTCCTATTTCATATCTTGGTTGACCGTTTTGGATAACAGGATCTTCTGTCGGCAACGCTGTCAAGTACAGAGTATAGTTTGATATTCAAAAGGCCTAAGCAGCATTAGTTTTAAACGATAAATATTAGTAGAATTAGCAACGGAGTCACTGATACAGAAACCATGAAATACTATAGTCTTTGGCTAGGTAGGCATTTAAAAACATAGTAATAATAATTAATTAATTAAAGGAATTAATTAGTAAATAACACACACACAAATATATATACTGCAGACTGACATATTTCAACATATAAGGAAACAGACAGACAGACAATTACATAGAATGCTCCTAAATAAAATATCGTTCAAATATTTATAAATGTTACTCAAAGCGATTCCCATATAGCAGGATTTCATGCTTTATCATCAAAACTAAAGTTATCTAGATCGCATCATTATCGATTGTTATTATATAAATCAGCGTTTCCTAAAGTGTGGGGCACGTTTCCCAAGAGGGGTGCAAATATTTTTTTTTGGGGGGTGGGGGGGCATCAGGGGAGTAAATATATTTCTTATTAACGAAAATAATAACTAATTACTACAACACATACATTTATGTGTATCCGGGTATTACATCTCGTCAAATAACTCATTCTTCCCATTAAAAAACAAAAAGGGGGGCGCGCAAGAAAACATATTTATTAAACGTGGGGGGGGGGGGGCGTGGAAGACAAAAGCTTGGGAACGATGATACAAATTACAGTATTTTTATTTAAAATCATTTGTACGAAACCAAATGGATTCTTAATTTATAAAATATTAACTTTATTCTAAGATTGGAAATCAGTGGCTGATGTTAGCGGAGATGCTTAACGTGTGTTAGCGGAGATGTTTGACGTGTGTTAGCGGAGGTGTTGTTAGCGGAAATGTTTGACGTGTGTTAGCGGAGATGTTTGACGTGTGTTAGTGGAGATGTTTGACGTGTGTTAGCGGAGATGCTTAACGTGTGTTAGCGGAGATGTTTGACGTGTGTTAGCGGAGGTGTTGTTAGCGGAAATGTTTGACGTGTGTTAACGGAGATGTTTGACGTGTGTTAGCGGAAATGTTTGACGTGTGTTAGCGGAGATGTTTGACGTGTGTTAGCGGAGATGTTTGACGTGTGTTAGCGGAGATGTTTGACGTGTGTTAGCGGAGATGTTGACGTGTGTTAGCGGAGATGTTTGACGTGTGTTAGCGGAGATGTTGACGTGTGTTAGCGGAAATGTTTGACGTGTGTTGGCGGAAATGTTTGACGTGTGTTAGCGGAGATGTTTGACGTGTGTTAGCGGAGATGTTTGACGTGTGTTAGCGGAGATGTTTGACGTGTCATTTCTAATAAATTATTGTACACCTTTTTAACATTGTAGTGTTTTTAGTTTATTTAAGTTATGTGCTAGTAAGTCTTTTACCATATTTATTGAAGTATACCATTTGTCTTTAGTACAAATACGCTGTTGAAAATTGGCTTCTATACTGCAGGCAGTGTGACAGTTGGGGTAAATCACAACGGCAATTATCAGTTGCATATAATTAAGTATTATCACAACGGCAATTATCAGTTGCATATAATTAAATATTATCACAACGGCAATTATCAGTTGCATATAATTAAATATTATCACAACGGCAATTATCAGTTGCATATAATTAAATCTATAATTCAAAGCAAAAGTGATTTGGTCTTATAAATAGGGATAAAACAATTAATTGTTTTGGTCGAATATGGGATTTTTAGGATCAAATAGTACATGTGGTCATACATATTGAAAAATGATGTGATCTGCCATTTTGGTAAAGTATTACACTTGATTTTTCGTCATTGTTTTGTCAAAAATGTATTAAAGTTGTACACGAAAATATTCATTCGTGCGTGAGTGAGCAGTCATTGTAGGCTCTTTAATTAATGGAATGTGGCACGGCCATTGTAGGCTCTTTAATTAATGGAATGTGGCACGGCCATTGTAGGCTCTTTAATTAATGGAATGTGGCACGGCCATTGTAGGCTCTT